GCTTCTCCTCCACTTCCACTTCCTTCTCTTCTCCCTTCTCCTCCTCCACCTCCCACTTCAAATTCACATCATCATCATCATCATCCAGGAGCCTTCTACATACACACCTCAAAGTAATTGTACTTTACTCCCTTTTTTGTTGACTTTAGGCAATTTTCGGTGAGCTGGAACCAATTACCCAAAAACCCATTGAAACAATGGTTTCGGTTAACAAATTTTTCGGTTAACGAGCAACCTTCTGGAACAAATTGTGCTCGTTAACCGAGGGACCACTGTATATATATATATATATATATATATATATATATATATATATATATATATATATATATATATATATATATATATATATATATATATATATATATAGGTGTATATGCATTTATATAGATTAGGTGTATATACATTTATATAGAGTACGTGTATATGCATTTATATAGATTAGGTGTATCAAAATTTATATGCATTAGGTGAATCTGCATTTATATAGATTAGGTGTATCAACAATTTTATAGATTATGTGTATATGCATTTATATAGATTAGGTGTATCTGCATATCCATTGATTAGGTGTATCTGCATATACATAGATTAAGTGTATCAACATTTCCATAGATTAGCTGTATTTGCATTTATATAGATTAGGTGTATCTGCATTGATATAGATTAGGCGAATCTGCATTCATAAAGATTATGTGTATATGCATTTATATAGATTATGTGTATGTGCATTTATATCGATTATGTGTATGTATATTTATATAGATTATGTGAACATGCATTTATATAGATTAGGTGTATATGCATTTATATAGTTTAGGTGTATATACATTTATATAGATTAGGTATATATGCATTTATGTAGATTTGGTGTATCTGCATTTATATAGATCAGGTGCATCTTCATTTATATAGATTAGTTGTATCTGCATTTATATACATAATAGGTGTATCTGCATTTATATAGAATAGGTGTTTATGCAGTTGTATAGCTTAGGTATATATGCATTCATATAGAGTATGTGTATATGCATTTATATAGATTAGGCGTATCTGCATTTATTTAGATTAGGTGTATAAAAATTTATATAGATTAGGTGTATCTGCATATATATATAGTTTAGGTGTATCCAAATTTATATAGGTATGGTGTATCGGCATTTATGTAGATTAGGTCCATCTGCATTCATATAGATTAGGTTTTTCTGTATTTATATAGATTAGGTGTAACTGTATTTACATAGATTTGGTGTATAACCATTTATATAGATTAGCTGTAATTGCATTTATACAGATTATGTGTATCTGCATCTATATAGCCTAGGACTATCTGCATTTATAGAGTAGGTTTACGAAAATTTTCATAGATTCGGTGTATCTGAATTTATATAGATTAGGTTTATCTGCATTTATATATATTAAATGTATTTGCATTTATATAGATTAAGGGTGTATATGCTTCTATATAGCTTTGGTGTAATGCATTTATATAGATTAGGAGTATATGCATTTATATATATTGTGTATGTGTATTTATATAGATTATGTGTATATGCTTCTATAGAGATTAGGTGTATATGCATTTAATTAGATTAGGAGTATATGCATTTATATAGATTAGGAGTATATGCATTTATATAAATTAGGTGTTTCTCCATTTATATAGCTTAGGACTATCTGCAGTTTATATAGATTAGGTTTACGAAAATTTACATAGATTAGGTGTATCAAAATGTATATAGATTAGGTTTATCTGCATATATATATATATATATAGATTAGGTGTATCGAAATTTATATAGATTAGGTGTATCTGTATTTATATAGATTAGGTGTATATGCAGTTGTATAGCTTAGGTATATATGCATTCATATAGATTTTGTGCATGTGCATTTATATAGATTATGTGTTTGTGTATTTATATAGATTATGTGTATATGCATTAATATATATATATATATATATATATATATATATATATATATATATATATATATATATATATATATATATATATATATATATATATATATATATATTAGGTGTATATGCATTTATATAGATTAGGTGTATCTGCCTTTACTTTATATAGATTTGGTGTATCTGTATTTATATAGATTAGGTCTATATACAAGTACATAGATTAGCTGTATTTGCATTTATATAAATTAGGTGTAACAAAATTTATATAGATTAGGTGTAACTAAATTTATATAGATTTGGTGTATCAAAATTTATATAGATTTGGTGTATCAAAATTTATATAGATTTGGTGTATCAAAATTTATATTGATTAAGTGTATAAAATTTATATAGGTTAGGTGTATCTGCATTTATATAGTTTAGGCGTATAGGCATTTACATAGTTTAGGTTTACCTGCATTTATATATGTTAAGTTTATCTGCATTTATATAGATTAGGTGTATATGCTTTTATATAGATTTGGTGAAATGCATTTGTATAGATTAGGAGTATATGCATTTATATAGATTGGGTATATATGCATTTATGTAAATTATGTGTATGTACAGTTATATAGATTAGGTGTATCTGCATTTATAAATGTTAGGTGTTCTGAATTCATATAAATTAGGTGTATGCATTTATATAGATTAGGTATATCTGTATTTATATATATTAGGTGTATCAATATTTATATAGATTAGGCTTATCTGCATTTATATAGAATAGGTGTACCTTCTTTATATAGATTTGGTGTTTTTGAATTTATATAAATTTGCTGTAACTGCATTTATATATACTAGGTTTATCTGCATTTAAATATATTAGGGGTATCTGCATTTATTTAGATTAGGTGTAGATGCATTTATATAGATTGTGTATGTGTATTTATATAGATTATGTGTAGATGCTTTTATATATATTAGGTGTAGATGCATTTATATAGATTGTGTATGTGTATTTATATAGATTATGTGTAGATGCTTTTATATATATTAGGTGTATATGCATTTATATAGAGTAGGAGTATATGCATTTATATAGATTTGGTGTATTTCCATTTATATAGCTTAGGACTATCTGCATATATATAGATTAGGTGTATCGAAATTTATATAGATTAGGTGTATCTGTATTTATATAGATTAGGTGAATCGGCATTTATATAGATTAGGTCCATCTGCATTCATATAGATTAGGTGTACGTGCATTCATGTAAATTATGTTTATATGCAGTTATATAGATTGTGTATGTGTATTCATATAGATTAGGTGTATCTCCATTTATATAGCTTAGGACTATCTGCATTTATATAGATTAGGTTTATGAAAATTTACAGAGAATAGGTGTATCAAAATGTATACAGATTAGGTGTATAAGCATTTATATAGATTAGGTGTATCCAAATTTATATAGGTTAGGTGTTTCTGTGTTTATATAGATTAGGTGTATGCATTTATATAGATTAGGTGCATCTGCATTTATATAGATTAGGTGTATATGCTTTTATATAGATTAGGTATCTGCATTTATATAGATTAGGTATATGTGCATTTATATATACTAGGTGTATCTGCATTTATATAGATTAGGTTTATCTGCATTTATATAGATTAGGTGTATATGCTTTTATATAGATTTGGTGTATCAACATTTATATAGATTAGGTGTATCAGCATTTATATAGATTAGGTTTATCTGCATTTATATATACTAGGTGTATCTGCATTTATATAGATTAGGTGTATATGCTTTTATATAGATTTGGTGTATCAACATTTATATAGATTAGGTGTATCAGGGCCAGGCAAAAGGAGAGCATGTTTGTTTTGGACTGTGTATTGTTTTTGACACTGGTTCCTCTTAGCTCAAGGGCCAGGCAAAAGGAGAGCATGTTTGTTTTGGACTGTGTACTTTTTTTGACACTGGTTCCTCTTAGTTCAAGGGCCAGGCAAAGGAGAGCATGTTGGAGATGGACTGAGTATTTTTTTTTTGACACTGGTTCCTCTTATTTCAAGGGCCAGGCCAAAGGAGAGCATGTTTGTTTTGGACTGGTATTAATTTTGACATTGGTTCTCTAGTTAAGGGCCAGGCAAAAGGGGAGCGTGATGTTCTGGTTGGGTTGAGTTGGGCTAGGAAGAAATGGAGTTGCTAGCTGCGTGTGGAATAGTACAGAGTTGAAGGTGGGTTCTAAGTTGTTCTCTCAGCACATGAGGGCAGTGCTGTTTTCTTTTAGGGGGGTCGAGTGTTAGCGGGAGAGAAAAGGAGAGAAGAGAAGACAAATGCTGCATTTAGCACGTTAAAGGGGTGAGGAGCCACCACGGTAAACTACAGAACACTACCGGTAGAGAAACAATTCTTACTAGAAGAGTTTCAGGGGTATATCTAATTTGCACAAACATAAACTATACATTAATTTATTGAGCGGTGTAGTTGGAAGGCTGGTGTGGGCCCTGTTGCTTGGCCCTTTTTTTTCCACCTGACACGCCTGGTGTGTACAATCAAAGACAAAAGTCGTGTCGCGGTTTTGTTCGAAGATTAAATATAACTCTTGAAACATCATGAGAGCTCCCTACCACAAGGCAGAGCGCACCAAAAGTTTAGCCCTTCGGCATAAGTTTTCACCAAATTTCACGACACGACTTTTGTCTTTCATATACAGTCTCACCCAAAAGTTCGTTAACTCTCCCAGCCAGCTATTGCTGTACTGCCTGCTTTAGATGTTTGAAACTGTCTTAGTACCAACCAGAACATGAAACTTATACAAATGAATCAAAGGGATCGAAGTAACAGAGTCAAGTTCATACATCTGGAGCAGACAGTGCAGCAATAGCTGGATGGGAGAGTTAACGAACTTTTGGGTGAGACTGTACCTCACTCTTGATACTGCCAGGAGGAGATGGTCGGTCCTCCCGGTAGAGGTCAACCAGTTCTTGTATTCTTCTGCTGCCCTCTGCTGATGTCAGGGTTGCCGAGATGGATGGGATGACACTGAGTCAATGGAAGGCCTTCTGGTGCAGGGGGTTGAACCTCACCTCCATCTCTGCCAAGAGATGGTCTAGGAGTGGAATGGCCACAGTTCTCCAGTAGTATTCAGCTGGTCCATCAGCTGATGTGTTGTCTCGGTGTCGTTGGAGTTTGACGAAACCATTCAGTGTAGTGATCATCCATGTTGTTTTGGATGTCTTTAGTCCTGCTTTCACACAGTTAACTTCTCTGCTGGCCTCAACTATTTCCTTGGCCTGTGGTTAAAGGCGTTAAAGGCTAGTGGTCACACCTTTCAGGTAGCCTCGTGCATTGTTGGTGATCACCAGGGACACAATGAAGTCTCTGCTGGTGTTGGCGAGTAGCAGGGCCTGGGCATCAGTCAGTGAGTCTGTAGACCAGCTGCCAGGAACACCCTCCACAATGTCCTCCATGCAGGCCACCACCGAGGGATGTAACTCCACAAGGGTTTCTAGGGCATTTAGGCGATGCACTCAACGTGTATGACATATTTTTTAGCTTGTGTTTCCTTGAATCAGGTTTGGTCTTCAGGACAGCTGCCTCCACGTTCGGGATGCACTTCAATATAAGTTGAACGCCTGTCCACGGTACCATCATGTTCCGGATACTGGTGATCTGGATGGATTTAACAACAGCCACGTTGAGGGCATGTGTTGAGCAGTGCTGGTAGAAAGCAGAGTGGTTGGTCTCCTTTATGATAGCTGCTGCCCCCTTGGAGCTGCCAGCCACGTTGCTAGCTCCGTCAAAGGCCTGACCTCTAAGGTTATTGATGTAAGGTCCACACCCTGTGATGCTGTTTGTCACCTTATCTGCAGTAAATCTGCCAGTTACCTCATTGTCACACTCCAGAAAGTCCACCAGGTCTTCTCTGATGTCGTCATTAGGGTCCACATACCTCAACACAATGCTGAGCTGCTCCTTGCAGGCAGAGTCAGTGATCTCAGTAGTTATGATAGAGAAAAACTTGTTTGTCTTCACTTTCTGAAAGATAATGTCACGTATCTGTTCTCCACAAATGTGAATCAACTGGTTATGGATATTCCAAGATGTGAACAGAGCATTCTTGGCAGCTGTGCTTAGGTGCATACCTAGAACCCTGTCTCCAGTTTTAACAAGGAAGTCAAGGAGGGCCAGAAAGTTGACATGATTGGCAGTCCCATCATTGGCAACGTCCTTGGTATTATCTCTGTGACCTCGCAGATAAATTTTCTGGCGGCCAAAGAGGATAGTAGTCATGATGATGACCCGGTGGGGGGAGGGGGGGTGGTTCTGGGCAACCAGGAAACCCCCCTGGGTGCGCTCCTGATATATACAGTATATGTGAATTACACGAAAGCGCTTGGGAACTCCGTGTTTTCTCATATATTTGGATCACGAGCACCCACAGTGATTTACTTGTAAAAAAATATATATAAATATAAATATAAATATATATATATATATATATATATATATATATATATATATATATATATATATATATATATATATATATATATATATATATATATATATATATATATATGTAACCGGTCGGAATTTACTGGACTTTAATTTCTCACTTGACTTGGGGTTTATTAAAAATTAATAGATGGTAATGGCAGTGGAAGCGCCCCTTTGAGAAAAATCCCGAACCAGCACAAGAACACTTAAATCTACTAAACAAAATGAATTGTCCGTGACCCGTGGAAGGATAGCGTCTGTGACTGGGATGAATGAGACACACTGTAAAATTTAGACACTTATTTTCCCTCCAACACTACAAACACAATCAAATAATGGTACACCAATATGCCCACCTCTTAACTTAAACTTAAAACACTACTCTGGGGAATAAAAGTTATACATGATATAGAAATTATTAGAAACACAGGCAACAATAAATTTGAAGTATTAAGAAATGTTGCGTGCACCCATGAAACAGGCCTTAAGGGCTTTCACAAAATAATATCAGTCACTTAGGAAATGGTATTAAAAAATAAGAAATTAACTACTCTACAATGAATAGGCCTTAAGGGCTCTCAACAAAACAATATCAGTCACTGAGGAAATGGTAATAAATATAAGAAATTAAATACTCTACAATGAATAGGCCTTAAGGGCACTCAACAAAATTATAGCACCCCAACAGATGCACACTTCCTAACCTAACTTAACCACTACTCTGGGGAACAAGGTTATACCTGAGATCAGAATTATGAAGAACAATTAGATGCATTAAAAGAATCAAATCACAGTATCACTCTGGTTCCACTTAATGACACAAACATTCAAAAAACACTACTATCAAATTATTTAAGAAATATTAAACTACACACGTCAAGATAATATCAGTAACTGAGAAATGGTATTAACTACACCCGTAATAAGGAAGATAAAATGTTCCTCTAGGTATCTCCTAGAGTCCTAGACTCACGGTCTCAGTGTGTGACCATTAATATACTCAGATAGCCTCAGTGTACTCCCAGTGCGTCCATGGGCAGGAAGAGAGTGAGCCAATCAGACCTTGTGCAGTTGAGAGGAGCTTTAGCTTCCCGTTAGCAAGAGGGTTTCACTTAGCAGCTCGGGACATGTGGTGTTGTGAGCCGACGTCAGCTGGGCACCCGGACGGCTAGATTCCCTCAAGAGATCCTTTGGTACCCCGCTAAACAGTGACAGGCCTACTCTGATCGGTCCAATGGCGACAATCGCCACCCTCAATCATCAACGGCAGTCTCAAACTGCAGTCAATCTCTCGCAGTCAAACTCCGGTCAACTCCGGTCAACTCCAGTCAAGTGGGTTCTGACGGAAACCCTGAAATGAACTCACTGTTAGCTCTAGTTTACTTTACCACTGCCCTATCTAACCCTGTCTGAGATCGAATGAGACTTACTTGTTATACTGCAATAGCGCAGCACAGGTGACTAGGCCACGTGACTATTTCTGTGACAGACTCGCAGGGACGTCTTGTTTGTGTGAATGCTTCCCGCGACTGAGAGAGAGGCAGCGTCGCGTCTCCTCAAGGCGTTAGCTTAGGTCTACGTGACATATTTTCCGCCGAACTAATAACTCCTTGGGACACCCGTAACATTATTCAGACTGATAAACGATCTATAAAAATTTCAAATTCAATAATAGTCCCTTACTTCATGAATCGCATCACTATTAATTCGGTGAATTACATTTAATATCATATAGGCCTAGTTTCGCAATCTCTCGCTATGAGCAGGCAGCGCTCTCTCCCCTCAGATGACCTTGAACGCTCAGTATCGCTAATGGCGGGGCATTTGAAATTACTCTGAAATTTCTGAGTATTACAATCGACCCCCCTAAAAAAAAGACAGCACTGTCCTCATGTGCTGAGAAACCATACATACGACCCCCCTAAATTTTTGTTCTAAGAAACTGCATCTTACCCCTTTTGCTAAACGCAGCATTCCCGTCTTCTCTTCTTTCCTTTTCTCTCCCGCTAACACTCGACCCCCCTAAAAGAAAACAGCACTGCCCTCATGTGCTGAGAGAACATACATACGACCCCCCTAAAAAATTTGTTCTAGGGACTGCATCTCACCCCTTTAACGTGCTAAATGCAGCATTTGTCTTCTCTTCTCTCCTTTTCTCTCCCGCTAACACTCGACCCCCCTAAAAGAAAACAGCACTGCCCTCATGTGCTGAGAGAACAACTTAGAACCCACCTTCAACTCTGTACTATTCCACACGCAGCTAGCAACTCCATTTCTTCCTAGCCCAACTCAACCCAACCAGAACATCACGCTCCCCTTTTGCCTGGCCCTTAACTAGAGAACCAATGTCAAAATTAATACCAGTCCAAAACAAACATGCTCTCCTTTGGCCTGGCCCTTGAAATAAGAGGAACCAGTGTCAAAAAAAAAATACTCAGTCCATCTCCAACATGCTCTCCTTTGCCTGGCCCTTGAACTAAGAGGAACCAGTGTCAAAAAAAGTACACAGTCCAAAACAAACATGCTCTCCTTTTGCCTGGCCCTTGAGCTAAGAGGAACCAGTGTCAAAAACAATACACAGTCCAAAACAAACATGCTCTCCTTTTGCCTGGCCCTTGAGCTAAGAGGAACCAGTGTCAAAAAAATGCTCAGTCCACGTCTCCGAACCTCATGCCGGCAGACCAACCCTCTGACAATGTACCAGTCCATATTAGTGAGGCCCTGGACATTACAACCGTACTCTCAATCCCGCTCATGACAGCAACTCAATCCCGCTCATGACAGCAACTCAATCCCGCTCATGACAGCAACCACTACTCAACGCACATCTATGACCTAACCATCTCTCCAATCCCCTCTGCCCTACTCACAACTCCTCCAACTCACCCCCTACAACCTGCCTTTTCTCATTACCATGCACCCTAAACTGTAATCGGTCGGCTTCGTCTTGTCTCTCAGCTGGAGGGCTCGATCAACCTCTCTGAACTACTTACGTACCCCTATATTTCCTACTTGGACCTCACACTTCCTTGACCGTTGAATGTGTGCCTGAGACTCCCACTTGAACCTGTTTACCTGTGCTTGATAATCCCTCTTTAGGTCTCCGAACTCCTCTCTCAGCTGTACCAAGGTCCCGCGGCCGTCTCTCTTCCTCCTCATACACATCTCTACTGTCAAGCCTAACCAACTCAGTCCGGGCACAAGGATGAGCATCAGTGCGAGTTCAATCCCTACCATTACTAACCAACACATGATGGCGTTCATTATCCCAACCACAGTACTATCAGTCACGACATTAAAAACTACGCTCTGCTACCATTTGTAACCGGTCGGAATTTACTGGACTTTAACTTCTCACTTGACTTGGGGTTTATTAAAAATTAATAGATGGTAATGGCAGTGGAAGCGCCCCTTTGAGAAAAATCCCGAACCAGCACAAGAACACTTAAATCTACTAAACAAAATGAATTGTCCGTGACCCGTGGAAGGATAGCGTCTGTGACTGGGATGAATGAGACACACTGTAAAATTTAGACACTTATATTCCCTCCAACACTACAAACACAATCAAATAATGGTACACAAATATGCACACCTCTTAACTTAAACTTAAAACACTACTCTGGGGAATAAAAGTTATACATGATATAGAAATTATTAGAAACACAGGCAACAATAAATTTGAAGTATTAAGAAATGTTGCGTGCACCCATGAAACAGGCCTTAAGGGCTTTCACAAAATAATATCAGTCACTTAGGAAATGGTATTAAAAAATAAGAAATTAACTACTCTACAATGAATAGGCCTTAAGGGCTCTCAACAAAACAATATCAGTCACTGAGGAAATGGTAATAAAAATAAGAAATTAAAGACTCTACAATGAATAGGCCTTAAGGGCACTCAACAAAATTATAGCACCCCAACAGATGCACACTTCCTAACCTAACTTAACCACTACTCTGGGGAACAAGGTTATACCTGAGATCAGAATTATGAAGAACAATTAGATGCATTAAAAGAATCAAATCACAGTATCACTCTGGTTCCACTTAATGACACAAACATTCAAAAAACACTACTATCAAATTATTTAAGAAATATTAAACTACACACGTCAAGATAATATCAGTAACTGAGAAATGGTATTAACTACACCCGTAATAAGGAAGATAAAATGTTCCTCTAGGTATCTCCTAGAGTCCTAGACTCACGGTGATGATGATGATGATAATGAAGTAAAGTGGCAAATGACTTTGCACTGGGAAAGGAGAGGAGAGAGAGAGAGAAGTAAAGCGTGGAAACGGGAAGAAGAGTGGGAGGGGTAGATAGCAGGTGGGCTGTCCACCTAGCGGAGACGAGTTGAAATGATTGGGTGGCGGCAGCGCGCAGCACAAGCCCGTCCGCTCAGGGAAGGAGGTTGAGGAGGGAGGGGGGAGGAGTTAAGCTAGCTAGATATTCATTATTGTAATGGGTGTTAATTTTTATTTGTCCGGTGGTAGTGTTATTTGTTTACCTCTTTGTGTAGAGTGGTTCTTGTTCTGCAATGTCAGCATGGAAGCTCTTAGGCCACCAGCTGTGTGTTTTAGTTGTTCCTTCTTCTTTTAACTTGGAGAATAATGGGTCCTCCATCTCTTCAAGTTTGGTCCATACTCTCTGTGCTTGGCTGTGTGTACGTATGTTCAGTGGTTCGATATTGAATAATTCGTGAAGTTCTTGTATTTTGGTGGTGTATGGCGGAAGTTGCTTTGATGCTCTACGGATAGCTTTGTTTTGTACTGCTTGAAGTTTAAGT